GCTGGCAGGGGCAGGAAATACAGTGACCCTTTGTCAATCTTTCTTTCCCAGAAGTGCTTCAGGTTGTCCCCGGCACCTTTGAGATCTCCAGCACCAGCATCAAACTGAACTGGACCTGCAGGTTCCCTGGTGCCTGCCAGGGCATGCGGGCCATGTGCCGCCTGGCAGGGCCTTCCTCCCCTCCCTGTGAGGCTGAGGAGGTGGAGGGAGAGGAGATGTTACATGGCCAGGAGGGAACATTCTCCTGCTCCCAGTTGCAGCCCTTCACTGACTACAGTGTCACCATCTTCTTGCACCCCAACACGACCCTTTTCTCATGGTTGTTCACGACAGAGGAAACAGGTATGTGTACAGAAGTATTGGAGAGAAGGACAGCCTGGGGCTGTGTCATGGGTAGGGGAAGTGGATAAATGTCCCCTTCATCTGTCAGCTCAGCCTGATCATCTGCTCCTTGCAGGGATCAAGGCTGTTTATATCCTGTGGAGCTCTGGGGAAGGGGCTCTGCAGAGCCCTGCAGCAGGGCACATCCCCTCCTTGCTCTCCCAGTCCACACCACACTGTTGCTCTTCCCAGTGCTGCAGCATGTGCAGTCTTTGCAGGGGACAAACCCTTGATATGGGGTCCCATTGCAGCCTGTCCCTTGGACAGGAGCTGCCTGCACCCTGCTCTGGGCTCAGCCCCTCCTCATGGGCCCTGCGTGTGACCCTGTTCTCCTGTGCTTCCAGTGCCAGACAAACCAGAGAAGCTGTGGTTGGATACCAGCAGAGGGTCCCTGAGGTGGAAGGAGCTGCCGTCCTGCAAAGGGGAGATCATTGGATACCAGGTACCAAGGGGCCACAGGCAGACCCCCATCTTGTTGCCTGGAGTTCTGTGCAGGCAGACTGGGAAGTTGGGGAAGTGACCACTAGAATGAGCTGCAGGTCCCAGACAGTGAATATCTGGCTTTGAGAAGCACAAGTGTCTTCTGTCTCATTCTCAACATTCTTCATGCTATGGAAATGCCCACAGAGGTGGTGGGTGCTCCCCACCCTCTGGTCTGACTTCCTGGGTTGTTCTGCTTTGGGCTTGGCAGACCTTTGCGGCTTGGCAAAGGTCAAAGTGACGTGTTTTCTGGGGTGGTATCCCAGGGTTTCCTGTGCCTCTTGCATGCTTGTTCCTGTTTCCTGCCACAGACAAACCTGTGGGTTGAGTAATCCTCTGAAAATCCCTCCTGAAAACCTCTCCTCCAGAGAGCTGCACTGTTCCTTTGAGTTTTCCTCAGGGCATGGCTAGAAGCATCTCGCCTGCCTGTGGATTTAGGATACTTTCCACGGTGCAACCCTACTTTCTAACAGGGGGAGGGAGTTGCTGGTGAGATGCACCTCAGTGTGCCCCACGTCCTCTCTGAGTACAGGTATCTCCCTGGTTTGACAGGGGCTTTGTAAGGTGTTTCTGAGCTATTTCCTGGAGAAACAGTCAAACAGGGCACTTGAAAATGTTGCTTGCGAGCCTGTTCTGCTGGTTCCCTGCTCCCAGACACCTTTGTTTGTAAAAAGAATTTTTTTTTTTCTGCTTTTGGTTGTCTCCTCTTTTACATATGCCCAAGATGCATTTCCATAAAGGTAGCAAGTGAGAATGGGCATGGATCTCATGACAAATTCAGATGATTCATGGGCAAATAGGGAGTCTTCATCTGTATTACTTGGATGGAAGCTCTATGCCGTCTACTTTTCATGTAGACAAAACCTTCAGAGTCCAACCTTGCACAGGAGGAAAGAGAAGCTCAGGGCTCTTCTTGTGGAGGATGTCAACACAGTGCCTGTGGTGTTGCAATACCAGAGGGGTGACCTGGCCTCGGGCTCGGTACATGTATATACACCCCTTCAAATAAACAGCCTCCATCTTCCTTCACAGAGGCTGGATTCTTTGTTCACGGAGGCAGACACTTGGAAATCCTGAGTGTTGGCTCCAAATTCCTCCTCTCCTCCTCTTCTCTGCTTTGAGGTCCACACACGGGGCCAAGGATCGTGCTGGTTCCTCTCCAGAGCCTTCCGCAGCTGGGGCAGGCTCAGAGAAGGGGAGGCTGCCAGAGGTGCTTTGCTCTGCCTCGGTGAGCTGTGGGCAGGTTGCAGCTGCTGCCCTGCAGCTCTGTCTCCTCTCCCCAGCTGAACATCACGAGCACACGGGATGGAGGCTTCCTGCAGATGGAGCGGCTGCAGGTGAACGGCTCCGTCACCGAGCACCGGCTGCCGCAGCACGGCCCTGGCAGCAGCTACGTGGTGTCCATTCAGGGACTGACGGCTGCCGGGGCCGGGGCTGCGTCGCTCTGGGAGTTTCAGAGCACAGGTAGGGCTCGCTGTGCCCCTGGCCGAGGAGCCTGGTCACACAGGAGCTCTGCTCTGCAGCCTGCACTGCCCGAGCCTGCCCCTGCTGAGCTGATGCTCATCTGCTCTTGCCCTCCAGACAACCAGCACCCTCTGGGCATCAGCTGCCGCAGCGTCCGTGACATCTCCCCATCCCAAGGGACGGCCGTGCTTCCCCTGCAACCCATCACCTCGGAGGGGGCCAGGTGAGTGCAGCTCCCGCACTTCTGCCACCTCCACACGGGTCTCCCCACCGGCAGTGCTTGCCTGCAGATGCCCCTGCTCCACTCTCCCTGCTGCCCCCCCGCCCCTCTCACTTTCTGCCCTGCAGGGAGCACCAGCTGGTCGTGGCCACCACACACAACAGCTCAGGGATTGAAAGCGCCTGCTTGGGGCAGCCACAGCCCTTCAGTGCCAGCCAGCAGCCCTTCAACACCACCCAGCAGCCCAGAACCTACGTGGCCGCTGTGCTCAACCTCACCGCCCCCATGGACTTCGTTTTGGGCAACGGCACCTGGGGGCAGGGCTACCACAACGCTGCCCTGCACCCCGGCTGGAACTACACAGCCCTTCTGCGCCTCATCCGCCGCTCACCACAGGTACCCAACGTGGGGCCTCCTGGTGTCTGGGGACACTGCTGGCCAGGGATCGGCCCCTGGGTGGGTCTGGTCTGGCTGTGATGGCAGGCTCCTCTCCCATGGCCTGGCAGGACAATGTCCCTGGGGTCCTCTCTCACATGAGTGGGAGACCTTTGCCCCCCAGGATGGATAGTCAGGCAGAAGTGGCTTCAACTCTCTCTCTATCTCCTCCAACAGTCAGAGAAGTTCACCTGTGTCTGCTACAGCTTCTCTTTTGGTAAGTGCCTCTTTGCTTCCGGTGCCCGAGCCTCTCACCCACATTTCCCTGGCTGGTCCCTGTGGAGAGGAGCTGGCCCAGTGCAGGAGCCTTTGGGTCTCATGCAGGACAGAGGACACTTTTGTTTCCTACACATGGTGTGATCCTCCATCACAGAAGAAACCTAAGACACACATCTACACCCTTTGCCATCATTGGGGTCACAGCTAACATGAGGCCCAGGCTGTGACACCCACTCCTGGCTGTGTGTTAGTTGCAGGGCAGGCTCTGGGCACGTGGCATTGGACTGTGATTGGGCTGGTTGTGCTGTTGGCACTCCTCCTCATGACTGCAGTGATCCTGTGGCTCGTGCTCTCCAGGTGAGTAGGCATGAGACAGGTTCAGCAGGGACATGGGCAATGCCAGCCTCTTACCCAGGACTCCTCTCTGCCTTTCTAGGAAAAAGAAGTATGTGCCCAACAAAGCTAAGGAGGATAACTAAAAAGGTAGGAAAATGCAATTTCACAGACAACCATCACAAAGAAGGCTACAGGGCTATGTGTCAGCTGGGTTGAGAGCAGAGATCTCTCATGAGAACCTGAGCTTCAGGAGAATCATCTGCTCATACTCTGCACTGACATGTCTCCCCATTTGCTCTAGCTGAGGATGGTCAGGATGGTTCTGCCCACTAAGCCCCACATGACAGGCAGTGCTTCCAGCCTGGAGCAGGGACAGGAGTGAGCAAAGACAGGAATCCCAAAGAGTGGCTCATGGCTCAGTCCTTCGAGGGACCCATGTCCACACCATCCCTCCCAGGGGAGAGATCTGCAGGGAATGGTCTCGGGAGGGTCAGGCTGAGAGACTGCTTCTCTCGCCAGGGCACTGACAGGCACCTCAGGGGACCTAAGGTTGGGCACAGCTGGGATGAAAGGGTTGGGCTGTGGCAGGCATTGCCTTATGCTCCAGCCTGTCTCTGACATTGGATGCCCTTGTTCTCCACAGGTAAAGGTGGCTAGGCTAGAGATCAGTCACTCCAGCCACTGGCCAGGACCATGGAGACATTCAGAGCAGAGAAGGAGTGGAGAAAATGGGAAGGATGACCCCAGCTCAGTGCTGATGGCTGCTGTGTCCTCCTCGTCTCCTGTGACTGTGACAGCGTGGGAGTCCCATTCAATTCATCTAATTGAGCAGGGCAAGATGAAAACAGGAGACAAAGGAGGATTTTAAGCTTTTTCTTTCCTCGGCACCTTCACCTCTCAGCTTTTGCTTATTGTTTTTTTAAGGCCTTTGAATTCGACTTTCTGCAGTTCTTTTTTCAGGTTTGCTTTCATTTTTGCTTTCCTGGAAGCAGGATTTGTATTTCAGATTTCTTAATCCCAGACTCACACAGGCTCAGGCTGATGGCATTCTCCTGTCATGCCCTGGGTTCCCAACTCTTCTCCCCCATTTCTGCTGATATTCAGCCAAATCCAGGGATTTTCTGGAACTTGGCTTGACTGGACTGCTTTGTGACTCTGCCTGCTCTGTCTGAATAACCAATAAAGGCTTGTGGTTTGAAGGGGCTGCCTGTCCCACTACAGCTCCTGCCTGGTCCCCTCATTGCCCCTTTGGGGTCACATCTCCCTGCAGGGAGCTAACTGCACCTTGTTGAGGGGAGGGCTGCTGTGACCCCGTATTGCCTAGTGGTGCTTGACAGCCTCCAGGGCTGTGCTGGACAGCTCTCTCATGAGTTACATCAGATGTGTGGTGGGAATCCATAAAGGATGATGTCCCTCAACACACATTTTGGGCAGGAGTGTGTTCTGTGCACATGCTGTGGCCAGAGCTGAGGGACCTGTATGGTCTCAGTTTCTTTGAGGGCCCTGTGCTGGGTCAAACCTGGAAGAAAAGTGAAGACCAGAGGTTACCACCACCGTGGCTGTTACAGGGTCTTTACTGGTGAGACACAGGACAGAGAGCCACAGCCAGTCAGGACCTAGGGTCAGTCCTGGCTCTGAGGTCTCTTGCCCTTACACAGCAAAGGCAGAACCAGTCTCCATGATGCAGCAGCAGCCCCTGCTGGAATCACATCCAGGATATCCAAGTTAAGCCACTATAACCTGGGATTGTCATAGTGGAGTCTGATAGGCTGATGAAGGAGCCTCTCTGGAGCTGGCAGGGCTGTGGCACTTGGATCAGTACCTGGAAAATGGATTTCCAGAAAGAGATTGTGTGGGTTGGAAGGACCAGTTTAGCCCTACAGGACCATGGCTTGCCCCACCCTTGGCTCTTGTTGGCCTTGGACTTCATGCTTCTCCCAAAGTAGGACAGATAGCTTGTGCTCCTGAGCACCACAGATCTTACAGTAGTTTGGTGCTTCCCTGACAAAACACAGGTGTTGGTACTACCCCACCTCCCCTGGGGCTGCCTGAAGGGACAAGGGAGCCTGGATGGGACACCTGTTCTCTTCATCCCTAGCAAGGAAGAGTATGTCAAGTCCTGGTGCCTGTGCTCTGGCGTGCATACTCAGGCTGTGATTCCAGATAAGATACTGCACAAATGCTGGGCAAAGGGTCAGCTTCCTACTTCAAAGCCTGACCACATTTTGGAGACAGTCCAGCCTGTGCTCTCCAGCCACAGAGGACCCTTGCTGTGGCTTTTCAGGGTAGTAAATCATCTTGGGGCTGTGCACATCCCTTTTGTTTCCTCTTGTTTTCATTGTTGCTGATGAAGGTCTGCCAAGAGAGTCAAAGTCCTGTCCAGAGATGGACTGTGGTCACGCCTCTACTTGAAATTCCCATAGGTTTCAAATGAATTCAAGTAACTGAGGGCTAGTTCATAGCAGAGCCCATACTGCTCCTGTGGAAAGAGGGATGCACATGAGAGTCTGGTAGATCAACACCTGTAGTGGAATGTGAGCATTGGTTTCCAACAGCTTCCTGAGCATGCCAGGCACAGGTACAGCCTGCTCTCCTCCTCTCAGCTGGAGCCCACCTTCCCCTGCTGAGGAATCACAGGCACGTGCTTCAGTAGCTGGAGGGCTGGGATACCCCAGTGCTGGAGCCAACTGGCCTCAGGAGGAAAGCCAGCCTCCAGGGCACAGAGTGTCTGCTGATCAATCCCAACTGGGTTGCTCACCCTGTGATGACCTCTAGCACCCAGACCAGGTGGTGAAGTGGGTGCAGGACAGGTACCTGAGCATCCACCAGTGCAGCCTCCTGCTGAGCAGGCCAGGTGGACCAGAAAGGGGCCACTCACCATGTAGGATGCTGTGGTGCCCATTTGGTCCTGTAGAACCTGCCTCTGAGTGAGTGGGTATGTCCCAGAGGCAGAAAACGAGGGTTTTTAGAGGTCTTGTCTACTTCTGCTGGACCCAGGATGATCTGAGCACAGAGGGGCCAGGGCAGCTGCTGGGTCAGTCCAGGATATATTTGGGTTTGGTGTTGCAATCCCAGTTGGGTTTGAAGTGAGCACCTACCACATCTTTGATGAGCTGTCTCCGCCGCCTCTTCAGTGTCCTCACGGCCTGTGATACATCCACCATCCCCTCGCTTTGGATCTGCTCACACAGGAAACTAGCAGCACAGAAGATCCCGCTCCGGCTGGCTCCATCCCTGAGGAGGAGAGCAAGGGGAGAGTCACTTGCTCTGGGATCACCTGGCATGGCTGAACCTCAGAGGCATCCCACTAGACATCCAGGCTCTCAGGGTGATCTTGTCCACAGATCCTGCACCCAGCCAGCCTCCACAGGGAAGCCTCCCTCTCTGAACATAGCTGAATTCATGTCCACACATCCACCTGAGACGGAGCTGTGACCAAGTTCACTGACAGAGCCTCGGCTGTGTCCAGCTTTGTACCATGGCTGCTCCTCCAAGAGACATCACTCACCAGCAGGTGACAAGGATATGTCCACCTTGGCTCTGCCGATGGTGTGTTTCCACCTTCCCCAGCAAGCTGATGATGGTGGCAGGGTGCAGGGGAAGACGCTCCTGCATGGGCCAGTCCTTCAGTTGCCATAACTGGACTTCCAGTGCTGACTTCTTGGGCTAGTGGGGAAGAAAGACAGTGGGTTGGGCAGAAAAGAAATGTATTGTCTTCATGGAGTGAAGGGATGGGCAGTGTGTGTCAGTACTGGCTCAGCCATGCACACTGGATCAAGGAAGCAGCTCCACAGTGGGACAACCCAGTCCCAGACTTTGCCCTTCTCCATTGAGTGCTCTGAGACCAGCAAATAGATGGAGCATCAGAGAAGAGCTGAGCACACCAGGTGCAGCTCAGACTGGCACCAGCCCACTGCCCAGCTACCTGCAGTAGCTGTCCCCTTCCATGAACCCCCAAGATGCAAGAACTCCATCCACAGCTGCTGTCCTCCAAGTTGGAAAGGCACACAAAGGTACCTCTGACTTGTACCTCTGCCTGCAGCCTTACCTTCTTGGGATTAACCTCTCTCCAAGGCGAAAGATCCTGCTCTGGCCAGTGCCCTTCCAGGACCCCACCAGACCCCTCTGACCAGTGTGGCCTCTGCCACCTCTAGCTCTGACTTTGGCCCCAAATTAAAAAGGCTGTTCTCAAAAGACTTTGACATCTTTGAGCACAGACCACACCTGCTGCCTGTTGGTGAGGGCAAGTGTCCAGGCTGTGAAGCCAGCTCCAGGCTCCTCTGAGATTAGCTGGACATGGAAACGGCCATAGTCATCTTCGCCCTGGGTGGGCCAGAACTCCACGTATGTCTGGGGGAAGGGGGGAGAGACATGTGCATGATCACACACAGCCCCAACCTGCACGCGTGGCATCGCTTGGCACCTCGCATGGGTGGGATCACACCACTCCCTTATCTCAGAGCCATGTACACGTGGCTCTGTCAAACATTTTCTGGGGACCAAGCCAGTGCTTCAGCCAGAAAAATCACACTCTGGCAGAGAAGACACCTGAGGGATGCTCCCTTGCTGTGAGACTGAGGACAGTCCACTACTGTGGTGCCATGATGCTGGACTGTCTCAGGGCTCTCCCAGGTGGAACCCACAAGCTTGCAGGGCTCTCATGGTAAGAGTTGTGCAGGGTCAAAGGCAGAAATCCCCCTGTTCAGCCCCACGGGGAACCAAGGGATGGGAGAGCTGCGCTGGGGCTGCTCACCTTGTCCAGCTCCTGGAGTTGATTCAGCACAACCACTGATGTGCAGGTGTAATCCCAGACCAGAGCCCAGAAATCCACCAGCGTGGTGGGGAAAGGCAGCTGGGTGATGATGATTCTATCCTCCTCGGTGTATGTCTGCAAAACACGCCACTGTGCCTCGGGGTGGGGAAAGCCACACAATCCACCTTCCCGAGAGCCCTTCCGACAGGGGGAACGCCCCACTGTCTCCCTGCAGAGACGGAGGAAACACAGTGCACCCCAGCCCTGCTCGGAGCAGCTCAGGTTTGCCCCCCGCCGCCCCCCCAGATCATCACACCCGGGCTCGGCCCCCAGCAGGCTGTGTCCAGGCTGTGTCCAGGCTGTGTCCAGGCTGTGTCCAGGCTGTGTCCAGGCTGTGTCCAGGCTGTGCGGCAGCTGCGGAGCTGCCGGCGCAGGCAGGGCTCAGCCGAGCGCGGGGGCCACCTCCTGGCAGCAGGACCAGCAGTCACCGTGAAGGAGCCCGAGGGCTGGGACACCTCACACCGGGGTGACACGCTCCACCCTCGCCTTCAGCAAGGGTGCGCGGGGCGGGGGGAGGTGTTTCTGCTGCTGCCATCAGCTCTCGCCCCCCCAGCTGGGACTGGAGCCTTACACTGGCAAACACGGCGTTGATGTAACCTGGGGAGCCGTCTGCGTTCAGCGAAGACATCAGGATGGGCCGGCAGGAATCCGCTGAGGAGGCAAGGGACAGAGAGAGGGTCATCCTCTCCCTGCGGAGAGGCAGGGGGCTTTTTCTGCAAGTGATGTGGTCAACGTGGCTTCCTGCGGCATGGGCTGGAGGGGCTTGGATGAACAGGCACCACCAGCCTTGTGGCCCTGACAGCTCAAGGACCCCTGACATGGGATGTCCAAAATCCCCTGCATAGAGGCACAGCAGTTCCACTCTCCTCTTTGCTCCCTGATGCTTCATCTGAGCTACTCCACCAAGAAAGATTAGACCAGGGACGTGTTAATCCCAGGTGTACCCCAGGTGTACCAGCCCAGCCTGTATTTATTACTAACCAGAAAATGATGACTAGACCTTGAGCAGAATCTGCCAGTGTCATGGTGCTGGGGAGGGAAGCAGCAGGGTAGCATCATTCCACCCGTGCTGCTATCAGGTGCTGGGTTTTAGAGCAAGGGGCTGCCCAGCCCTGCCAGTTACCTGGCAGGATCCCTGGCTTGCGGTTCTTGGGCTGGTTGCTGGGTTTCTCTGCTTCTCTGCATGGCAGGAGCTGGAACAACTCAGAAAACTTCTGCAAGGCCTGTAGAGATGATTTAGCGAAGTAAGTCATGCCGGCCAGCACTTCCCCTTCTTCAGCCACCCCAGAGAAATGTTTTCCCATCTCCATCCCGCAGCTGGGGAGGGGAGCGGTGAAGGGGGTGGCATCACAGACCAGCTCTCACAGCACCAGTGCACCATATGCTGGTGGTACCTTGAACTCCTTGTCAAGGACACTGTTCGGCCTTGAAGTCTGAGCTTCTCGAAGGGAGTGGACAAGGGTGGCGATGCTCTCCACAGGGACCCCAGTGTTGCCGCAGAGCAACCCTTCGAGCAGCGCTTCGTACAGGAAGGTGTACTGCTCCTGCATGAGGACACGGGTCAGCTGCGCAGTCTGGAGCAGCTCCAAGAGGAAGCCTGGAACTCCAGACCTCCATTGGCATCAACCTGTGCCAGGAATGAGCCAGGTTCATCTTCACTTTCCTTCTATGGAGCCCTGAGGCCAGACAGCTATCAGTGCAGGCAGCCCTGCTTTGAGACACAGCCAGCAACTCCAGCAACCCAGAAAAGACCATCTTCCTGTGGTTTAATGATCCCTCTCAGACCAGATCCCTGCTCTGGGGAAGGAAACATGGAAAACCTGTGGACTAGTTAGTCCTCCTACAAGGAGCTGGCTGGTCTAGCCCAACCTTGTTCTCTCCAAAGGGACCCAGCACTGAACAGGCTATAGTAGTAGTCCCTAGGCCAGGAGACTGCTGCTCAGGAGATGCCACAAGGGCAGACATCCTGAAAGTCTGAACAAATGGACTCTTGTTCATGATCCTTGCGTACAAGACAGCCCTTCTGTATGAGAATGATATATATCAGTGTACGAATGCTGCTGAGACCTCAGAGGGTCTGCCTCTGGGGAACATGGATCCCAACTGGGTTTGGACACAGTATTGAAAATAAGATCCTGTGGTCTCCATCAGCTGGCAGCTCCAGTCCCTGTGGCTAGACCATGAACTGCATGGCCAATGTGGCTTTGCACACCACATCCCTGGGAAGGGTGGGAACTAGATCTGCAGCCCGAGGTGTGCAGGAAGCAAGTAACTCTCCTCACCTTGGTCTGCACCATGCTGACTCGCTGCTCCCGCAGCTGCTGCACGCAGCGAAACACATCCACCTTCCCCTCAGCCTTCCCCATCTTCAAAAGGAAGTCCAGGGCGATGAAGGTACCTGTGCGCCCGATCCCTGCACTGAAGACACAGAAAACTGAGTTTCAGTGCTGCCCCTGCCAGCTATGCCCCAGCACCCAAGCCCTCCCAGCCCAGTACCTGCAGTGCACCAACACGGGTCCAGCAGGTGCTTCCAGCACCCTCTTGTTCACCACTGCCACTAAGCACAGGAGCTGGGAGGTGTTTCTGGGGACTCCGTGGTCTGGCCACAGCAGGTAGTGAAACTGCTCCACCACTCTTGGGAGAGCACAGCCTGCCTGCAAAGAGGGAGACATGGCTGGCAGCAGGGAGCAGGAATCAACCAGGAAACTTGTGTGAAGTGATTGCATGACAACAAGTAGGGAGCAGTGGAGAAAACCACTTCAGAGGGGCCGCACAATTAATTTGTTCTCTGCTTTCGCGTGCTGTGAACAGTGAAGGCAGAGCAGCAAATGCAGCTTGTGCCCCAGAGGAAGAATATCAAAATCACAGTTTAGGTTGTTTCCATAGTCATTCAGAAGCCCTGGCTTCCACAGGAAAGGTATTCCCTAAGGCTAGTACTGCACTAATATAAATGTAGTCACTTTTGTTACCAGCCCATCATGTATTTTGCCATAAATATCACAGTCACTTGTCCTGAACTAATGAACTGCTTCCATCAGGTGCTCTTGGAGCTTTACCTCTCAGCTACATTTTGCTCTGGGCAAGACAAGAAAAGACAGGAATATGCATAACTGCAATTTCTTTATATTTTACCTATTTTCCCCTCCTTGCAGCTCCTGCAGCTTCTGCTTTTTATCTGAGGTATAATTTCAGAAGAAGTATCTATCTTCAGAAATGTCCTTATGTAGTTTATCTTAAACCATAAACTAGCTGTTCAGGCTTAGTAGCTATAAGTGACCAAGGAGCTTCAGTGTGGACCCTCTGCAGATTGGTTCAGGTGACAGGCAGACACCTGTCCCACCATCCTGGATATACAGAAATGCCATTTTATACCCTTTAACTGCTTTTATATCCTTTGTAATCACCTGATCCAAGCCCTCATGATCGGCCCATGTGCATCATCAGTCCAGACTCATCTGGGGTGACCACTGGAGCTGACCAATTGCTTTTGCTTGGCACAGAAACCTTGGGCTGATGCCCTGGCATGGAATCCAGTGGTAGCGGCGCTGACCTTCTTGTGCTGGAGACCAGGCAGAATTTCCCACAATGTCCTTGACTGACAGCTCCCACCAGTTCTGAACCTCCAGAACATCCTGCATTCCCACCTCAGCCACATGCCAGGCTTACCTTCTGCAGGCTGAATGTGCGTGTGACAAGGCCTGTGGTGGCCCTGGTGTTGTTGAGTGTCACAGTAAAGTCCCCGTGGACCTCCTCCTGCTCTGGCCAGTACTTCTCACACTTGATCTGTCAACAGCAGCAAGATCTCTGAGCACCAGCAACCTCATGAGGGGAGCACTGCAGTAGAGCAGAACTCTCTGCCCTCACTGACAGACACACTGGGAGCGCAGCAAAAGCAGGCGGGGAAGTCTGGGCTGAAGTTGAGGATGGGCTGAGATGGTTTCTCTACCTTGTTTTGCTCCACTAAGCCCGTCAGCATCACAATGACCGAGGTCTTCTCCTGCCAGACCATCTGCCAGAAATCCACCACTGTCTCAGCCAAGGGGCCTTGGGAAGGAAGAGGAGAGCCCTGTGCCACTGTCCAAGCTGGAGGTGTGTGCTCCCAGGCACAACTCAGACATTCCCAGGCTTTCCTCTGCCCAGGGACAGAGCTCAGCCAGGGCACATCAGCACCTGGCAGGGTTGCTGGGCAAATTGGCTTCATCGTCGTGTTAGAAATTGGGACAAGGAGCAGGGTGAGCAGGTGAGCCCAGGATATGTCAGGGATTCACTGCTGCTTCAGGGGCTTCCCCATCCAGACCCTTAAGATGACCATGAACTGGTCCCACATTTAGAGTCCTATTTCCTGAAAGGAATTTCTGGAGCTTTGCAGGGATCCCAAGACCTCCTCCATGATGCATAGAGCAGACCAGCCCAGCCCAGCTTTGTACTGTTGGAAGGGGACTGTATCTGAGTGCACTGAGTGCAGACCTGTCAGGCATTTGCAGGATTGTCCCTGTCATGCCAGCTGCCAAAGGGAACAAACCAGATTTGTGGGTGCAAGGACCATATCCTCAGACTGGGCAGCACAGGCACCAGCTTCAGCTGCTGCCAAACTGCCCCTGAGGCCTTCCATGCCCTGCAGCATCTGTAACCACTGTCCAGGACAGAGACCCTGAAGATACAGGGCCTTGGACTGAGCCATTCACAGCTCCTAGGCTGCTGTCTCAGTTCCCCATTCCCCAGATTGCTCAGGGCAGCAACTGATATTTCCTGAGGATGAGATCTGGGAGCACCCACCTTGAGCTGCAATGAAGAAGTGTGGAGTTCCGTAGCTCTGCAGGGGAGAGATTCAAACAGCTCCGATCACATGGGTTAAATATTTAATGGAAAATGAAGCAAAGAATCCATCCCCACAGACACCAAAGCCTAGAGCCCTCAGCACAGTGTGTCCCACAGCACCAGTCCTGGCCAGCACAGAGTGTGTGTACCAGGGGCTGCATCTTGGCTCCTGGCCCTTCACACAGGTCACTTTTTGTTAGAGATGAGGACTGCACACAAATCCAGAGTGCTCCAGGCAGCTCAGAAAGGATACAAGGAAAGTGACATCCCAAGACCTTCCAGCACTTGAGGGCAGCAAGTGTCAGACCTCAGGGCCACCCATATGAGCAGGACTGTCCTTACCCAGCATAACAAGGCACCTTTCCCACCCTTCCCAGGGCAGCAATTCCTTGCTACCTACATCCACATAGCTGGCATTGATGTAGTCATTCCCTGTACCAGAGGGCTGCAGTACCACACGGCAGTGATCATCTGGAAGAGAAGGGAGGTGGGCTGATGCTTTGGGGCAGCAACGAAGAGGCTGAGTAAGGAGGAGTTTGTAATATAGGGAAGTCTGTGACTGTCCGCTGCCTCCTCAGCAGCACCTCAGGCCTCAGGACATATTCAGGGGTAAAGAACAGCTGATGAGACAAAAGGTGACATGGCACAGCAGGGAACCTAATGGAGTTTTAGGGAGGACTATTTATGGAAAGGCCAAATGTCCACACCATGAGGAGCTTTAAGGTTTGAAAGAAATTGGGTCACTCCTTCCACTTTCCCACAAATACCTGCCTCTGAACGGGACACGACAGTGTTCAGCAATGACTAATGTCAGGAACAGGAATACAGTGATGAATGATTAAGTTTGCAGGAGGATCTGAGGAGCAGAACAAGGATTCTGCAACTGGATACAAAACAGTGGGGGCAGAAATCCCTCTGCGTTTCAGTGGTCGCAGAGGATGAGATGAGGACCTCAGTATTTCTGAAGAGCTGCAGGGCCACCAACACCAGCCCAGCACCCTCTTCTGCCCAAGCAGCTCCAAGTGCCTGTGCCAAACCTTGGAGAACTCTGCTTACATGGGATGATGCTCTTGTAGCGGTTCTTGCTCTGATTACATAGCTCCTTCCCAGCATTGCAGGGGTGCAACAAAGCGGAGGACAGTTGCTGCAGACAAAGAAGGCAAGCCCACTCAGCACTGGGATGTGTTCTGGGGCTGGCCAAAGCCAACTGCATCACATGCCCAGGGAACAGGTGAGGGGAGGGTGGACAGTGCAGCCAGGTGGGGAAGCAAAGCTAAACCAAACCTGATATTCTCTAAGATGCCCGACACCACGCCTGTCAACTGATTCATCATCTGTCTGCTCTGCCTCTATTTCTTCCCTCTTAAACCTCTTCAGAGCCTCCAGCAGTTCCTCCACTGGGATCTGTGTGTTCAGCTTGCAGGCACCTACAGAGACCACAAGGACAGGAGTTCCCCATCCACCTGATGCTAAACTGGCTGGCCCTGGAACTCTGCAGCTTGGGCTGAGCTCGCACTGTGATGGCCAGGAGTCCTGTCCCATCTCCTGGGAGGTGTCCCTTCCCCCATGCCAGCCAGCTCTGATCCCTTTGCTCCTGTAAGGACTTTATGGAGCCTATGAGCACCCTGCCTTAACTTTTAACAGACAGCCTGTCCAGATAAGGTGCACAGGGCCTTGGTTCATACTTCACCTCCTCGACATCTTCTCAGCGGGATAGTGCTGTTGTTCTCTGAGGTTTTTGAACTGTTGTACTTTAGCCTGCAAAACACCAAGTCAGACCAGCAGAACAGAGAGGCAGAGGAGAGGCTGTTTCCCATCTAGCAGCTTTGTCTCCCACCCTGCTTTATCTCAAGGTCCAGTTGGACACTCCCTGCCAGTGCAAGGCAGTGGATGCCTCACAGAGGGCCAGGGGGGTGAGGCACATACCTGAAGAGGATGAAGAACAGTAAGATTCCCAGTGCCAGGAGTGCAGTAACCAGCACTACTGTCAGAACCAAGGGCATCCTGTCCAGCAGAGACACCGGCTCCTGCCCTGCAGGCAGCACAGCCCAAGCTCAGGCACCTACACAGCCTGAACTAGGCATTGGGAGATCCCCTAGGGGCTTGGAAGGATAATCAGCTTCCCTCATCTCCCACCCCAGGCTTTGCATTGGAGAAAAGTTATGTTGGTGTAGAAGGAGGTTGCAGGTTCTTGCTTGGTGTGATACCCTCTGTTGTGGATCCTGTCTCCTTGACTGCCCCAGTCATGGCAGAGCCTAGTGAGGTATTTGCCTTTAGGGGTTGCACATTCACCAGGGGAGCACCAGGACTAGGATTAAATATGTGGTGATGGCAAGGATGATGTCCAGTGTCCAGCTACCACTGGTGCCACACCTGCCTAAGTGTCCTGAATAAGCCAAAAACCCATCTACCACAGATAGCCTCAAAGCCCAGAGAACTTCTTTGAAGATTGAAATAGGACAATACCCCAGCACTTCTGCACTGGACCAGCTAATTTCCAGGGAAGCAACCAGGCTGGGAAAAGGGAACATGCAGGAGAAAAGTTCAGACCGGAAGCAAAGAGACACTTACCAACAGAGAAGCTGTAGCAGACACAGGTGAACTTCTCTGACTGTTGGAGAAAACAAGGAAACAGCTCAGCCCACTCCTGCCTTACCATCCTTCCTGGGAGGAAAGGTCTCCCACCCACAACCACCGAGTGCCCCAGCTGTGGCCAAGTACCCCACAGACACGATCCTGCCAAGGTGCCTGGGGTCTCAGTGCAGGGCCAGGACCCTGTGCAGCATTGTCTTTTTCCATCACAGCCAGACCAGACCCACCCAGGGGCCGATCCCTGGCCAGCGGTGTCCCCAGACACCAGGAGGCCCCACGCTGGGTACCTGTGGTGAGCGGCGGATGAGGCGCAGAAGGGCCGTGTAGTCCCAGCCGGGGCGCAGGGCAGCGTTGTGGTAGCCCTGCCCCCAGGTGCCGTTGCCCAAAACGAAGTCCATGGGGGCGGTGAGGTTGAGCACAGCGGCCACGTAGGTTCTGGGCTGCTGGCTGGTGTTGAAGGGCTGCTGGGTGGTGTTGAAGGGCTGCTGGCTGGCACTGAAGGGCTGTGGCTGCCCCAAGCAGGCGCTTTCAATCCCTGAGCTGTTGTGTGTGGTGGCCACGACCAGCTGGTGCTCCCTGCAGGGCAGAAAGTGAGAGGGGCGGGGGGGCAGCAGGGAGAGTGGAGCAGGGGCATCTGCAGGCAAGCACTGCCGGTGGGGAGACCCGTGTGGAGGTGGCAGAAGTGCGGGAGCTGCACTCACCTGGCCCCCTCCGAGGTGATGGGTTGCAGGGGAAGCACGGCCGTCCCTTGGGATGGGGAGATGTCACGGACGCTGCGGCAGCTGATGCCCAGAGGGTGCTGGTTGTCTGAAGGGCAAGAGCAGATGAGCATCAGCTCAGCAGGGGCAGGCTCGGGCAGTGCAGGCTGCAGAGCAGAGCTCCTGTGTGACCAGGCTCCTCGGCCAGGGGCACAGCGAGCCCTACCTGTGCTCTGAAACTCCCAGAGCGACGCAGCCCCGGCCCCGGCAGCCGTCAGTCCCTGAATGGACACCACGTAGCTGCTGCCAGGGCCGTGCTGCGGCAGCCGGTGCTCGGTGACGGAGCCGTTCACCTGCAGCCGCTCCATCTGCAGGAAGCCTCCATCCCGTGTGCTCGTGATGTTCAGCTGGGGAGAGGAGACAGAGCTGCAGGGCAGCAGCTGCAACCTGCCCACAGCTCACCGAGGCAGAGCAAAGCACCTCTGGCAGCCTCCCCTTCTCTGAGCCTGCCCCAGCTGGGGAAGGCTCTGGAGAGGAACCAGCACGATCCTTGGCCCCGTGTGTGGACCTCAAAGCAGAGAGGAGGAGGAGAGGAGGAATTTGGAGCCAACACTCAGGATTTCCAAGTGTCTGCCTCCGTAAGCAAAGAATCAAGCCTCTGTGAAGAGCTGAGGGAAGAGGGAGGCTGTTTATTTGAAGGGGTATATATGTGTGTCATATACCCAAGGACAGGTATTGCAACACCACAGGCACTGTGTTGATGTGCTCCACAAGAGGAGCCCTGAGCTTCTCTTTCCTCCTGCAGGTCATCGTGACTGTCCCTTTCTCACACTTCCCAGTCTGCCTGCACAGAGCTCCAGGCAACAAGATGGGGGTCTGCCTGTGGCCCCTTGGTACCTGGTATCCAATGATCTCCCCTTTGCAGGACGGCAGCTCCTTCCACCTCAGGGACCCTCTGCTGGTATCCAACCACAGCTTCTCTGGTTTGTCTGGCACTGGAAGCACAGGAGAACAGGGTCACATGCAGGGCCCATGAGGAGGGGCTGAGCCCCGAGCAGGGTGCAGGCAGCTCTGTCCAGGGGACAGGATATGGGGACCCCATATCAAGGGTTTGTCCCATACAAAGACTGCACATGCTGCAGCACTGGGAAGAGCAACAGTGTGGTGAGGTGGGGGACAGTGAGATGAAGATGTGCCCTGCTGCAGGGCTCTGCAGAGCCCCTTCCCCAGAGCCCTACAGGACTCAGGCATCCACAATCTCATCACTGCAGGGAGTGGATGATCAGACTGAGCAACCAGGTGAAAGACATTTTAAATTTCATGGAGTTGCACACACCTGATTCTTTTGTCGTTTTGCATTCTCTGTATATGATTGTGCTGGAGGGTAAGACAATTGTGACATTGTAGTCAGTGAAGGGCTGCAACTGGGAGCAGGAGAATGTTCCCTCCTGGCCATGTAACATCTCCTCTCCCTCCACCTCCTCAGCCTCACAGGGAGGGGAGGAAGGCCCTGCCAGGCGGCACATGGCCCGCATGCCCTGGCAGGCACCAGGGAACCTGCAGGTCCAGTTCAGTTTGATGCTGGTGCTGGAGATCTCAAAGGTGCCGGGGACAACCTGAAGCACTTCTGGGAAAGAAAGATTGACAAAGGGTCACTGTATTTCCTGCCCCTGCCAGCCTTGCAAGGATTCTGCAGTCAGACAGCACTGTCCACCACCCAGCCTGGTGGGAGGGCAAGCAAGAGGCTAAAGCTGGTCACTCCAGCTCTCTGGTAGAGCAGCAGGAGGAGTTTGGACAGGAATGAATGGGAGTGACTGAGTGGACTATTACTGGTCAAGGCAATTTTCCCCCTTGATTCCAAACTGAGGTGTCTGTGTGTCCCAGCAAGTCCAACAAGTGCCGTTCTGTTCTCCCTTGGAGGGGACAGGAACACCCCAAGCTGTGAGGACATGGTGCCAAGCCTAGAGGCAGCAGGCCACAGAGCCTCCAGGGGACCAGCCTACAGGGGGCAAGCTGTGGTACTCCCAGCTACAGAGTCTGAGAGGACACAGGCAGCAAAGCCCTCCAGTCCTGCCCCCACTGGAATGCCATGCTGACCACAAACTGCACCACTCCTTACTCTCCCCTACTTCTGTCCTTTGTGCTCCTGCTCTTGGCCAGAAGTCCTCAGGGAGCCCCTTCCCTTCTTGCCCGCAGCTCCAGGGGTGAACTGCAGGCTGCACTCAGGGCAGGCTCAGGGGCTGCCTTGACACTGCCTTCAGCAGCACGTGCCATTTCCCCAGGCAGCAGAGAGCCAGAAACCTGCTGTGCCCACACAGCTGCCTTCCCTGCTCAGAAAGGGCAGGGCGGGGCAGCCAGGAGAGCTCCTCATCCCTGCCTTACCGAGGCACTCCACGCTGGAGCGAATGTGGATCCAGACACCTCTGGTGTCTCTTCCAAGCCAAACCTCTCTGTAGACAGGTTTCCCATCAATGAGGGACTGGACTTCACTGGAACATTTGACATGGGTGAAGGATGGCTGGAAACCTTCAGGGCAGCTCAGCATCACTTCTTCGTTCTTCCTGTAGCTCTCCCGGTCTGGTGCCAGCTGGAATATGAAGCCCCAAGGGGGCCTTTGGCACGTTTCTGGCAGAGGTGAAAGCAGGTGTTAGTTGGGCTGGAGGGTGCTGGGCTATGGGTGCGTGGTGGGAGATAAAAGCCCAGCTATCCCTCCAGCCCCTGAAGGGAGAGGCAAGGTGACACATCCACCTCAGGATGTTGGGAGAGGGCTTTCCTTGTGCATGTAAAGTGTGAAGGATCCCTCATCCATGAACCTCCCCCATCCAGCCTTGTGTCTGGGGACATTCCATTTCCTCCTCCAGAGCCCACAGGAAGGAGATTGCCAGGACAATCAGCCCTGCACTGGGAGACTCTCCAACGTCTCCTTCAGGCATGTCACCCATCCCAGCTCAAGCTGCACTTGATGGTACCACCCATCCTGCTGGGATGCATGTCTCTTCAGCCATGGCTCATCCCTGCCACAGGGATGAGAGATGCCCCTGTTCCACTTCTGGGCTCCCTGTTCTGACTCAGTCAGTCCTTTGGCTACTCTCCTTCTGCCCCACACCGCTGTGCAGTGGGACATGGGGAGGACAAGGCCTTCTCCATTCACATCCCCTGCTTTAGCACAGCTCCTGCCCCTTTGTCCTGCCACAAGCCCTCTTCCTTCACATCTTCTCCTCACCAATTTCACCATCCTTTAGGCTGAGCAGGCACAGCTTTTCCCAGCAGTTTGTCGAATGCTGCAGGGAGAGCCTTTGTGGCAACAATTCCTCCAGGCAAGAATGCTGGCCCTTGGAAGGAGCACTTGGCTGTTTGAGCCTGTGCAAGGGGCTCTGTGAGGCCTGAAAGTGCTTAAAATACAATCTCCTTTCTCCCAAAGGGGCACACAAGGGATGTCAGAAAGTTCAGAGTATCTTCTGAAGAGGCCCAGAGGAAAATGCTGGTGACAAGCCACTCCTGGTCAGGCTTTGCTCTCAAACAAGCCTGATGGCAGAAGGCCAGAGATGCCCATCTGAGCAGCACAACCAGCAGCTCTGTCCCACTGGCACACGGCCGTGCCCCACCCCATGCACAGGCACCAGGAGTGTGGGGTCATGGCTCACTGGGATGCTGAATGTGAACTTTTGGGAGAATTTCTGCACTGAGGCAACTGTGCCTGTTCATTCAAACCTTAGGACATTGTGGTGGGAAATAGAGGGAAGCCAGGACAGTGTGCCCCTAGTCGGACTACATCACATCTCACAGGGAGGGTCAAACGGGTCCTTCTGCCCTCACACCCTCTGAGGTGTGTGGCTGCAGTCACCCTTTGGTGCCATGGGAGAACACAACGGGAGACACTTCATCCTGGCCTGGAAGCAGGAGCTGCTTCCACAGTCACCAATCTCACAGCACGGGCCCCAGTGTAAAACCACAACCTTCCCATGCTGGCTCTGACTCAGACACATTCCCAGCATCCTGCCCTTGCAAAGGACTATCCTGCTCCCCATTCCTGCCTTACCAATGCACATCACATAGGGGGGAATGTGTGTCCAGACACCTCTGGTGTTATTTCCCCACCAAGACACAGGTTTCCTCTGAAAGGGGAACTCGACTTCACTCCAGCATTTGATTTTGGTGAAAAATGGCTGCAAACCCTCTGGACAGCTCAGCAGCACTTCCTCATCCTCCATGTAATTCTGCTGGTCTGGTGTCAGCTGCAGTCTGGAGTCCTTCTGGGGTCTTTGGCACCTTCCTGGCAGAGGAAAAAGTATTTGGGCTGGGAAGTGATGAGGTGGAGTATGGGTGAGTTGTGGGAGAGAAATCCCCAGTAATCCATCCAGTCAATGAAGGGAGGGGAAAGGTGTCACATCTATCTCCCAGGATGTTACCCAAGGTATGTTTGGAGGGGGCTTTTCTTGTTCACATGAAGCATGAAGGATCAACCATCCATGAAGCTCTCCCATCCACCCACCTCTGTCTGTGGACACTCCTACCCATCTCCCACAGCCCCAGGCAGGGAGGTTCCCAAGTTATCTCTCCCTGCTCACCTCTCCTGAGCACTGGACTGCCCAAGTACTGCCATGCCCACACTGAGCACAGCTTTGTCCCTGCCTGGGACAGTCCTGCATCCCCACCACCTCACAGAGGGCATTTCTCTTCCCCCAGCTTCATCCCATACAGCCTCCAGTACCAATGCCAAGGGCTGCACCAGCCCTGGGCAGTCAGGGTTCCCTTCAGTCCCCTCCACTCCTGCAGATGTCCCCAGGATCCCTCATGCATGGGCAGGCAGGGGAACAAGCAGACCTGTGCACTCCAGGGTGTCACGTGGAGGCACACTGAGGATCATGGAACCCCTTTTGGCACCTCGGTGCTGGTCTCAGATCCTGCCCCAGGCCTGGAGTCCCATCTGTGGGCCCCACACTTGGCCTGCTCAGGAACCACTGCAGGAGCTGTCGGTTTGCCCGACTGGTGCTACTTTGTCTGTTGTCTCCTGGCTGGGCTGTCCTCTTCACCAGTTTGTACAAGCAGCACAGCACCAAGGAGGGACTGTGGTGTGCCTGCTGCTGAGCTGGGCTGTTGAGGGTGAATGTACAGAGGAGAAAGGGGAGAGCTGCTGCAGCCTCACTTACCAAGGCACCGTACGCCCCCCTCAATGCGCATCCAGGCACTTGTGCTGCTCCTGCCCCACCAGGCCTGTCTATAGGATGGTTTTCCAGAATTCACTTCCTGAAGTTCCTTTGCACATTTGACCTCGGAGAAGGATGGCTTGAGATCTTTAGGGCAGGTCAGTTGCAGATGATCATTCTGTGGGAATTCACTGTTGTTTTCTGGAAACTCGAGTTGTTCATCCCACTCAGGTTTTGTGCAATTTTCTGTCAGGAAGAACGTGTGAGAGTCCTTCTCAGACAGGAGGTGCTCAGGCAGGAGGGGCACCAAGGCTTTTCCATGATTGGCTGTTCCATCATCATTCAATACCACAAGGAAACCCAAGGGTCCTCAAGTGCAGGGAAGGAGTGAGTGGCTGGGTAAGGAAGTGATACAGGACACTAGGAGAGAGGTGAACCGAGGGGCAGGATCTGTCCTCCTCCAACTTCCCCATGGCCTACAACTCAGGAATAGTCTGGGAGGAGATGCAGGGACAGAGAAAACCTGTCCTGCATTGAAGGCTTCTACCTCTCTCCTTTCTCTTGGAAACTGCTCCCAACTGAGACCTGTCTCTGAGCTGTGTCCAAGGCTTCTCACAGATATGGCAGGATGTCCAGGTCCCGTCCACAGGGAGAAGTGCATGTAGCAGGGGAGACTTACCGCTTCCCAACTTACCTGTGCTGCAGGTCAGTTTCTCGGTCAACTTGTGCCATGTTCCCTGAATGTCCTTCACCTCCCAAGCACGCTTCCAACCTGGAGAAGTCCCATTTGCACATCTCATCACAGCAAGGGGAGGAGGGTCTTTCTTAAAGCAGCTCAGTGTCACCTCCTCCTTCAGCCGGTAAAAATTCTGTTTTGGGGTAATGTGGAGCTTTGAGACCCACTGGGGCTTCAGGCATCTCTCTGCACAGAGGAGAGGAGAAAGAGCAAGTGTAAGCAGGATGGGAAGAGGTCTGCTTTGACGTCTCTTGTCCTGGTTTTGACAGTGTCCAGCTCCTTTGGTTACCACATTCAACTCCAAATCCCTCTCTTGCAACCTAGAACAGAGTTAATGGTGGCAGCATGCCGCCCCAAGAGCAGTCCCACTCATGCCTACAGACTTGTAGGCTTCCCCACTCCAGGGACTGAACTCCTCTGCAGTCTTCACACAGAGTTCCTACCACTCCCACCACCTTGGCATATGCCCAGGCATTGTTTGAAGGCACAGTAGCCCCAGTGTAGGGGCCCTTGTTCCTGCCTTTGAACCCCTCCCCAGGAGCACAGATCCCAGCAGGCACTCACAGCAGGGTGCTGAGACAAAAAGAGCCCCATCACTTCCAGGACACAGAGGAAAGCCAAAGTATCCAGGTCTCCAGTTCCCAGACTGTCACCCGGGGGGGCTGAAGCATGACCATGTCACAGAGGGTCTGATGGCAGGTCAGGACCCCAGGTCAGGGTGATGCACCAAATCTCTTAGTGCCTTTCATATAGCAAAGCACTTTCTGCCAAAACAACCATAAGTGACCGTCTCTAGATTTATAGGGCTTCCTTGCAGAGGCTGGGAGTAACATTATGATTCAAAAAGCCACATCTCATTATTGCTGCTTTAGAGGTGCAATACAGTGCAGATTTACTGTAGCACAAAGAAGAATTAGTCCTTGTTTAAAGTATATGATTTTTATTTATTTTTTTTTACTAAAAGTTAAAACTTCACAATTGAAATTAGGCATATCAGTATTATACTAATTATTGTTGACAGGCTCTTAGACTGATTCAATCTTTCATAAAATCATAGAATGGCTTGGATTGGAAGGGACCCAAGGAAGATCACCTCATTCCAACACCCCTGCCATGGGCAGGGATACCTTCCACTAGACCAGCTTGCCCAAAGCCCTGTCCAGTCTGGCCTTGAACACTCTCAGGGATGGGGCATCCACAGCTTCTCTGGGCAAACTGTGCCAGTTGACACTGAACCATTGACTGCAACTTTTTGAGTGTGACCATCCAGCCAGCTCCTCCCCAGTGAGTGGTCTATCCATCAGATCCACACCTTTACAGTTTGGAGGCAAAGATGTCACGTGGGACAGTGTCAAAAGCCTTGCACAAGTCCAGGTGGATGATGTCAGTCGCTCCTCCCTTATCCACCAACGCTGTAACCCCCACTGTAGAAAGTCACAACATTTCTCAGACATCATTTGTCCTTAGTGAAGCCATGTTGGCTGTCACCAACAACTTCCATGTGTCTTAGCATAGTTTCCAGCTGGATCTGCTCCATGATCCTGCCAGGCACTGAGGTGAGGCTGACTGGCCTGTAGTTCCCTGGGTCTCCCTTATTTCCCTCATTTTAAAATAAGGTTTATGCTTCTCCTTTTCCAGTCAGTGGGAGCTTCACAGGAAGTTCCCTGCTACAACTTCTCAAATATGATGGATACTGGTTTAGCCACTCTCTCCACCCTCAGGACCCACACGTGCATTTTATCAGGTCCCATGGACTTCTGCACCTTCAGGTTCCTCGGATGATCTCAAACCTGATCTTCTCCCACAGTGAGAAGTCATTCTCACTGTGGTCTTCGTTTTCACGTCCCTGCCTTTGCCTCCTGTGACTCGGGTGGTTATGGCAAAACAACCTTGCTTGCCTTGCAAAGGGGCAGCATACACCAGGAAGGCAGCCTGGGAGACTGCCAAACCTATTTCCCTCCTGCACACAGAGCATCCTGCTAGCAATGACCAAGCCGTCACAGCCCTTCCAGGGCTTGCTTCTTGCCTACATTCTTGCTGCTGCAGAGGAGCTGAAGTCATGTAGGGTATCACAGCACTGAAACCATCTGTATCCAGGCATCTGCAGCCACTCAGAGTCCTTCCTGGTGGTGGCATTTCTGATTTCTGTTTGAGGGTGAAGCCTAGAAGGCTAAGCTTCCCCACAGAAGGGGGAAGAGAAGACACTTTCAGTGCACATCTGATTTTGTCTTGAAAATGTTGATTAATGCAATCTGACTCAGCCTCACATCTTCAACAAGTCCAAGCCTGGCAGGCATGTGGTTACCACTTGAGATTCATTGTGACAAACTAATACATGACTGCAGGATGCAACTGAGATGCACAGGCTGGGGCAGGGGAGGGGGGCACGTCTGTCCCAACTCACTTTCTTACACTCCTTTCCCAAACACTCCATAATAATTGCCATGGGAAAACTGCTCCTTGGAGCAAAGGAGCCTGTGCTCCAATCCAGAGTGGTTGCTTGTGTGCTTTGGTTGTGGCCAAGGCAAGCTGTTAAGGGATCTCCACCAGGCTGGAGCTCAAAACTTGTGCCAAGCAGTTGGATGTATGTGGGAGGCCAGTGCACTGATGGAGAAAGGAGAATGCTCAGGCAGAAAGGGGAAAGAAATGCTTAGCTTCCAGCCTTGTAGGGACTAACAGCATCTGGGAGAGTAATGAAACTGTCCTCAGACACTGTTTTTTACCCTGCACAGTGGTATGCAGAAAGCCACCCACAGGCCTTCCACCCCAGCTGTAGGAAGGAGGTTGAGTCAAGTGAGATTTCAGCATGGAAAATATGGTGTAGTTGTGACCAAACAGGCACCTCTTGTAACGTGCAATGTGTGCTCACTGCAAAACGGAAAATGCTGAATACCTAGACAGGAGTGGTAGCAAAATCTTTGTCTGTTTGTCTCCTATAGGCAGATATTAATTGTTTTGGGTTTTTTACTGTTGATGCTAATAAATGAATACCCTCCTTGCTCTTATTATTTATTACCCATGACTATAGAAAGCATTTTACAGAAATATCTGGACTGCCTGTCTCTGCTGCAAGGGAGTTTTGAGCCTGGCAGGCAAAACAAAGCGTCAGCATGCCCCAGAAGCAGATGTCAGGGAGGATCAGGAGAAAGGAGAAACAGCTATGCTGGTAATTCAGGTCAGGCTCCTGGGTTCAGCCCTTTGCTTACCAGCAAAAGATGTACTTTCTTACATTATATTATCTCATACACAAAGAATAAAGGACAAGGTGAAAACTAAGAAGGAGTAGGCAAAGTTCAACCTTTTTCCCATGGCAGTTAAGGGAGGTGACAGCAAAGTGTGCTGTAGTCTTGTTGTGTTTGATGACATGTGCTTGCTAAGATGAGCTAAGAAAAGCAATCAGTGTTTCCACTGGTGGAGATTGTATTGAAAGCCATTGAGAACACACACATGGGGTCTTGGGCCATCTCTGTACTCACCACCACCCACCAAAGTGCCTGAGTGGGTCTTTGAGAGTGATGGGCAGTGTAAGGGTGGAAAAGGAGTAGAGAAACCTCGGGGATGCTCTTCTTGGGAGTCGTGCCAGGCAAAGCAGGTCACTAAACAAGGCACCGTGGGAAGAGCTGGGAAATGGTGGCTCTTTAACCTGCACTGGCCCACCACGCAAAAATGCAGCTGACAGGCGGTAAAATTCACATTCCCTGAACTTGTGCTCTGGTGATGTGAAGTGGAATCACAGCGGAGCACACAGTTCACAGCCTTTAGGGTGTCAAGCCCAAGGCACTCATCTACAGTGTCTCTCAGCATTAGTGTTCCCCACAGGATTTACTCTAGGCACTGTTTGATATTCGACTGACAAAAAACTTTTCAGATTGAGTGTGGCTTTATTTTAGCTAGAAACCTCCTACTCACCTGCCATTGCAGCTATGCTCCTAGATAGAGCTTCTTGTCAGCTGCCACTAAATCACTATGCATTGTCAAGCAAGGCTGATGAGAAAGGGGTTAGGGCCATCTTGAATCACAGGCCCTGCCTTTGCACAGAGAATATCCCCTAGAAGCTTCTCCACCTGCCTTCCAAGGTGCACTAGGATTGTAAGGGGATGAGGATTTCATACAGGTGTGGCATCTAAGGGAGGAAGAAAGCCTCATGAGAACAGCACAGCAAGGTCATCAGGTGACAACAGGACAATGAGACAATGCACTCTGCTCAGTGCACGGTGTTCCCGTGGCAGAGTGAGCAGAACGACAGTGCTGTGCTGGCTCACAAGTTTATGCACGTCCCAACCACATCCTCTGCCTGCAGCTGCTCTGTTCTTCCCTGGGCTGTTCTCTGTGGCACTGTTCCCAGTGGGCTGTTCCCTCTCCCTGGTTGTACCCTCTATCTTCCTGGGTCATGAGAGGTGCTCAGGAATCCCATCCCTGTATCCCCCATCTCTGCCCCCAACAGCTTTTTCCCTGCCCCACTGACACTGTCAGCCCATTCCACCCTAACAGGGATGGGAGGGACCTCCTGCCCCATCCTGGCCATTCTCCTTGTCCTGTCCCTCAGCAGGAGAAGGACCATAATCCATCACGTGGAATCTCAGCATGGGTCCCAGGATGGGATTAGCCTACATGCTGAGGATGCAGGCAGGGCTGCCCGCACTGCTGGGTGCGGCTGCCACTTGTTTTTGTCTTGGTTCCTCTTTTTACAAACACCAAGGTGCAAACTCAGCAATATCATCTCTGTCGCAGGCAGCCCCAGACTCCTCTGGGGATGGCTGGGTGACTGAGATCTGCAGAGCGTGTCAAGAGCCTGCTGGCCCAGAAGTCCCTGCTGCATCCCACTGTACACGGTGCAGACAGCTCCTGGTCCTAGCGTGCACCTTGAAAGCAAACAGGAGAACTTGGACATGCTTGCACGTGCTAGCCTGGGAGAACAGCTTCAGTGGTGATCTGAGCAATGGGAAGCCACTTGGGGCAGAAGAATATCCTCTGTCGCAGATTTAGCCCTTAGTTTTTGTGTGACAGTGTACTGTGCTTACACTCTCTGCAACTACATGGACACATTTTCCCTGGGAACAAGCTCTTGTGACCCCTATCACACTGTACAGACCCTGATGTCAGTAAAGTTTCTGGTCCCATTCCCTGTCATAGCCAGAGTACTTAATCAGCACTTTTCTCTACCCTGCGTCAG